ATGGAGTGTCGCTGGCGTCTGTAATGTGCCGTAGCAGTGCGTTATGTGACGTCAGCAAAAAAGAGTTTCCGGTGGCTCAGTTTGCTGACTGGTTCTGATTGTGAAGAGTTTTGTTTGTTATTTTTCGCAACTGTTCTTTAAAACAATGTAATCATTCCATGTCTTTTCCGCTGACTCGTCTTACTTTCGAACCTCCTTCAACTATTTACTTCATATGTTAATTGATCTTTGCCCTCTATGAAGTTGTTTTTGTTATGTATATAGTTATTACCGGGAGCATGCAAAGCAGTATTTAGAGGCGCCGCGCAATAGACACGTGGTCGATGGTTAGTCCTCACCCCCTCAACCAGCGGCGCCTTCCACCAGTTCGGAGTCAGCCAACTGCTTCCAGACTTGTCTGAGAGGATAGCAGCGCTGATTTGTGCATCGGTAGGCCACCACATGTCAATATACAGGCCAGATATGCTTCAGTCACTTCTTCGTGTACTTAAGGAAGTCTTATGCATGGATCATCACTCAGGGAATGTCCAACGCCGAGAGCACTTATAGTTATTGTTATGCAGGTTGAGATGGTTCGGTGCAATAATACATCACACGTATGTATTGTTTAGATCCCAAAAACTAAAGGTTCTCTCATCCCATAGCTCACTGAAGGTAGAATACACTTTGTCTTCTCATTCAAGTTGTCCTTGATCGGTTTAGGTATATCGTTATATATGTTAAGCTTGTATTCATGACTTTAGTGAATTTATAAATATATAATGTTCACTTCTTTATCTACTGCCTATTACAATTTTGACGACAGTGAATTATGCGAAATCAACCACAGCAATACTGAGACATTCGCAAAACCTGGATCCCGCACCAGATCGAACCACGATTTCCCTTTTCGGGGCGGGCTCGCGCATTACACACTGTGTCCGGAGGCCCTTGCTCTGGATTTCTCTCAGCTAGTTTTTAGATCTAGCAGTGCCATCAGCAATCTCCGTCAGCGGGATTGATCTGGGAACACAAATCGGCAATGAACACGGTTGAGATCGCAGTGGAAATCACATTGTTTACTCTTTTTATTTGCTGCCTACTACAATAAAAATGGATAGATCCTCAAACATCTAAATTCGCTGCGCTCTTTTACGAATGTCACAAAGCTTCCCATAAAAACAACACTTTTTGTGTTTCGGAGGCGTTTACTCGAATCAGCACTAGTTACCGCTAGCATTTAACTTCTCCGAAAAGGATGTTCATTTCGGTGGAACCGATGATTTGCTCCCGCTCGATTAAAGTATATTTGCCTAACGCTTCAGGGTTTTTATTAACTTCAGATTTCCACACTATCAGCCAGCCACATATCCACGTGCTGCATGGCGAATATTCGCCAATGTTTTGGGCATTCATATTGCCTTCCAGTCGCTTTTTCCCAATGTATTCCGTAATAGCCGAATAAAACCTTACAGTTGCATACTAACTGGTCAACTTTTCGTCTTACTCTTGTGCAAAATTATATCTGCGAAGCTTTGAGCTACACCTGCAGCCTCTGAAACATTCGTCTTGTTTTTTTTTTCTAAAACGTGCTCGTTAGTTTATATCAATCAGTTAAGCAATATCTTTCTTCACATCCATTCAATTGCTAAAATTATATTGTATACACAGAGCAATCGACTTCTGGAGATCAGCGTAGTCACTACCTTCGGAAAGGTTACTGCTGTTAACCAGGACTTGTACTCCGACGTCTTAACAGCCACGGAGCCATGGATATTTCCTCCCAATAATTTTTTTCTCGATGTCCATCATTCGGTAATGGCAGTCAGAAATCGTGTAGTACCTGCTTCCAAATTGATGAAATCAGAAAATTTAAGAAATATATCGTGCGCTGTCATCAACACACAGAATTGGGCTCGTGCACGTCCGGACTACATGTTCTTGAATGCGGCGTTTTCATGACACTTCGACTGCGTCACATTTTCAACTAATTTTGTGCCCTTGCAACCGTTGTCTTCGACTCTTCGAGGTATCGTCCATCTTGTGGTCCGTTAAGCAAATTTAGCAACGAATACAGCTAGGTGATAAACATGATCACACATATTATATTATAATTGGTTGCTTTCAAGAACTCCGTTTTTACCGTTTTTTTACTCGAACCTTTTTCGTGGTGTGACCACCCGTCCTTTGCTTCGATTTTGAAGATGAGGTGATTTTCGGCCTGCGTCCTCCACCCTGGCTTGAAACTATTTGTGGCGGCTGTATTCTAGAATGGACCATTCAAGCGTTCTGAAGGTGGTGAGCTGAATTCCTGACCTGGATGATGTATCAGAGAACGTGTTAATTGATCGCATTTCAGGGGCCAGGAACTGCCGCCGTCGTTCTTCTGTGTCATTCCTCTTTCATTTCGTTCTCAATGTTTGTTGAACGCTCTATGTACACATAAATTGTCGACTTTATAATCAAAGAGCAGTTCACCTCGACTTGTTCTTCACGTAGTTTTCTAGAGCGATACGAGATATTGATAAACTGGTTTCGCTTTATTCACAGCACCGCTTTTTACCCAAGTTTTTGAGCTCCTAAAACACTTTACTTTATAGTTCATTAAAAACGGCAGTGTTGTTGGCGGGACGGAGCTTTGATGGGAATTTACCATCAATGCCTGTACTCTTTTGTCCAAATCGAGCTACTTTATTGCCTATTGCTATGCATGATACACAGCTTCGACGGGATCGTGTCACCTCGGCAGATCACTTTAACATCGCATAATAGGGGGATCGATGAAAGAACTATATTGTTGTGGTCTATTACAATGGCAGTCGAATGGAATTCTTGCATACGTCCAGTTAAAGGCCGACAAGTGGGAATCGTTTGAATTCATGAACAAATTTGTCATCGTCGAATTATTATGGATTGAGAAATGAACTCGATTGGAGCAAGTAACATTCTTAGGTACGGTACCAACTTGTGTGTTAATGAGTTAAATCAACTGCAAAGATTCAAATATGAAGTGAAGCGAAAAAGGCTTTTTAATCACGCATGATTTTTTTTTTGATACGAACATTGAAGATGAAAGACTGCCAATTGAAGTGATCGGATCTTATATGTGTAGACGTAGTGATTCGCAGATAGAACTACCATAAGGCCTGCGCCACTAACATTTCACATCCAGCTACTTGGCTCATTTCTTTTTTTCATGCTTTCGGTCGCCCATAGAAGGGTCAAGCGGCGTTTGATGCCAATCTGAAGATGAACGTAAGGAACGGCGTTTTGGAAAAAGTTACGAGCTATTTTTACAGACTTTGGAAAACCGTTGTTTGAGACGAAGAAAGTCGTAAAGGCATTTGAAAACCGTAATACCTCTACCCACTGCTCAAGTAGCCTTTACAAGTTATGCAGCACTTTCATAATCAGAATTTCGCCAATCTACAATAGCATCAGAGAGATGGAGTGGGCTACAGTAAGGCACACAGTCACGCCAAAATTATTCGGCACCACTTTCACGAACGTTGTGTAGTAAATGGAATGCGATAACACGGGAATGCGCGCCGACGGCTGACAGATGCACGTTCATTTATCTGATTACGTCTACCTCCTATGATATCAAATAATATCAATCATTTTTTATATGGAACCACTGCTGCCCAACATCGGCCTCCTTTATTTTCACCGATACAAAAGTCTCAAATTACTCCAGGCATGCATGTCTTGCCGGAGAATTAGCCTTGATGAGTGCCCTATCTTCAAGGTTAAGAAGAAAGAAGAGCGGATGGTGGCACCAAAAGTTTACAGAACTGTTGAGGATATAACGGAAAAGTCAGGTGAAATGCCATTGTGTTCATCCTTTTAGCTCTGAAATACTTTTCCTTGAATTTCCCTATACCTCGAAAACTTGAATGCAACATAAGCAAAATTAAAGATCATTTAGCGTAATCAAAAGCGCTATCGAGAGGACGATATCCGTATCACGCCTTTCAGAATAGGAATCTGCAATTCCGGTCCAAGCCACGATCAATCAGTAGCGACATCGTGTACACCAAAATAGAGAACGTGCGACCGTGTACTTGAAGCGGTCGATCGCCGACATGATTAACAACAGCAAGTGGACACAATTGGAGCCCACATAATGTCAAGCGCATAATCTGGAGCATATGAGAGATAAATGGATGAATTACTGATGTTTATAATGCATGATATTTACTTCCATTCCTCATGCGATTTGCGACCTTCGTTGAGACAAAATCCTCGTGTCAATAAAAGCTGGTTTCTTTGTTTTTCCTTGTTATTGATGCCCATGAAATCAGTGAAACAGAGTTGCCTGAGTTATTGTGACGAAGGTGATTTCTCATTTGGATTCTTAGGAGTCGTCATATTCGGCAAGCTTTGTGTTCCTATATGTGCAGTTGTGACTTGCAACAGGAGTTTCATCTCACACCGAGATTATTTGAACTCAAGTCCAACATTCCCATTCGGGAGTCCATCACCACGACAGGGCACTGCTCGATTACCTCTGGTCAAAAGCAGCAGAATTGAAGAGCTTTATACAAGGAGCGTTATGCTCCTCCTTGAATGATCCCGCCTATTTCGGAATCTAGGCGCACGATGTCGTGTATTGAGATACAGTGGTGCCCACAAGAGTCATTCGACAGCTAACGGGTTCGTAGATGAATACATCATGCAACTGAGCAATAAAAATCTTAAAAGCACATTATGTACTTTTGGATGTGTACTAGTTCATTCTGCTATTGTGAACTTCATTGTGGGTCTAAAATATTTTTGTTCTGTCTAAGAACATTCTGAAGCTACAGTCCTTCTCTAGCATTTCATCCTCGTGGCAGTCTGTTGCTTGGATTTTACAGCATATTCGAGTTTTAGAACTGTTCTGTTTCATTTTTCTTTTTGTTGAACTTCATGGTCTGTATTGATAAGTATTGATCGACTATCTATACTTCGACGAATTTTTTAGCGCCTGTTATTTCGGCTACGCTGCCCACTTTTGTGGTCTCTTTAAGTGATTTCAGATGGCTGTTGAAACAACAACACTCTCCAATGGTGCCAGTATGCCCCTGCTGGGCCTTGGAACATGGCAGGTCAGTAGGTTCCCATGTGTGCATTTAAGGAACGCTGAATTTTCTCCTTAGCAACGATTTTCCCTGAACAGCGATTTCCTCCTGAACAACGATTTTTAACTTACTAAAAGTGGAAAAATACTTGAACATCCTAATAAAACATGTGCACTATTCTTGTCTGCCTGGAGAAATCTATCCTATAGAATTTTTTTATTCCTACTACATTCCCGAGAAAGGTTTATTGCAACTAATACATACATGTATACCGGAATGTCCAATTCCAACAAGCATATTATTTTGATCTGTTAGGAGGACGCAATGAGGTTTATCTTATTTTTACGTGGTATTATTTCTTAGTATTATTGCGCAGTTATTAGAGGCGCCTTGCAATACACATGAATTCGAGCTGGCGGCCCAGATTTACCAAGTCTTCCAACTCTTCAGGGTGGCCAAATTGGTAGCAGTTCTATCTGGAAAGATAGCAGCACTGACTCCGTACATCGTTAGCCCACTGCGATGTTTGAGTTCTTTAATCTGACAAAGTTTTGAGAAACATCTTTAACTTTATGTTGATCTTCGAATGTTTTGCTTACAAGAAGCGACGATCCAGTTTCAAAAACATCTGTGTGCGTCGGTATTTTGTGGTTATGAATGGCAGGGTATAATAGAGAGCTTTGCAAAACTGGTTTGTATTCAGTTCAAGACTAGGTGGAAACGAAGAATAGGGGATCAAACTTAAGCATATTTAACTTCCAAACGATCCGTAATGTGTCTGGATGGGGCGTTATCATGCATAACCGTAGTACAGAAATGTCAAGGCTACTCACTGTCGACTGCACATGCATGAGTTTCGAGTCTGTGTTTTCTCGCTAGTAAGGGTACGGATCTGATGGAATAGTTCTCTTGAAGGTTGAAAAGAAAGAGATATCAGTGCTTCGTTTTGAACAGAATACTGCAGCACAACAATACCAATTAGCCACCCTAAAGCATAGGAATTACAATCAGCAAATACTCCACATAGGTATACCAACCAACAAGTATAATCAGCATGAGAATACCAATCAGCCACGTTATTGCATGGAATACCAATGAATCACTTTATAGCAAAGGAATACCAATCAACCACCATAGCTAGCCTTGTCTTGTGGAGTTTGAACTTTTCTTTTCGAGGCGTCCTCAACTTTAAGAGTTAAGAGTCTCCGACAATGAAGGGTTTCGATTGCTTTAACAAATCTGTCCCTCATTGTATTTTACGACTCAATCGAGAATCTGTGCTGAACTTTTGAAAACAAAGTAGAAGAAAACAACTAGCGCCTGTGTGCCCCAGATAGTGAAACACTCACTTGTCAAGGTTCTCTACTTTTTCCAACATAGCAAAAAGTAATCGATAGTCGTTTTAGTGGAACGGGTTTCAATGCACTATTATTCTCATCGCATCCAATACATTACGATAACGAGAAGTTTTCTGTTTCCCTTGATAACAGTAGCTGTTTCGAACGTTCCTGATGAAAGCTTATGCTTAGTTTACGCAGAAATTTAGGCCAAGGACGAACACGAGCTAACAATTTCGCTAAAAACTGCTCTTGACCATGGATATCGATTGATAGGTAACATATTATAGCACATAATGACCATAGTCTAAGCAATGTTTATTCGGATACGTTCCTTTAGACCGCATCTTGTCAGCAACCAGCAACGACGTTCACGTTTTCCTTTATAGATACTGCGTTCTTATATCAAAACGAAGCGATCATCGGCAGAGTGTTGAATGAATATATCTCCAGCGGCAAAATTAAGCGAGAAGATCTCTTCATTACCACAAAGGTAATGACTAACTTTAATGGTTCGAAAAATACAAAATCGATGATTCGCATGAATAGTATATGATTCAACACCAAGAATGTCGGCACCAGTCGAAGATCTGTAAATATTGAAGCAGGTGTCCGTCAGTTTCATTTCCGCTTGTCCGGTGGATCGGACCACTTAGAATTTATGGAAGCGAATATGATTGTTATGCGATAGGAAATTGTTAACTCTACGAGTCAGATGACGAATTAGAATGCTCCTTTTGCACACGACATAATGTGAGATAACTTGAGAACATGTAACAGAATGGTTTCTTTTTTCAGTTACCGTTCACTGCACATGCTGCAGATGATGTAGCGAAATGTGTGGAGATACAGCTTCAAGCGCTTCAGCTAAAATACATCGACCTCTATCTCATCCACTGTCCCTGCCCATTCGAGGTATGCTGTCGGCCGAAGTTTCGGTCGTTCCCTTTCGTTCTTCCAGTTAACTCGGAATGAACGCTCTGTCTTTATGCTGAATTTAAAAGGCTTCGTAAAACCCTTTAAACTAGAAGTCAAACAAAGTGATACCGGTGAATCTTATCAGTCACATTTAACTTATCACAAATCGCTAAGCCTTTTGACAATTTACTGCACTGTGTTGTTTCACCTATGGATACATCGACTGGTCAGACTGGGCTTACACAACTACTGTCTGTTCAGGCCAGCGAAAGCGATTAATTTATAAAAAAATTGTCATTGAATTCTAACCTGACATGCTGTTACAAATGCTTATTTTTTATGCCTAATATTTTAAAGACGCCGTTTCAGGTAGCAATGCGCGGCCATAGAAGGCAATTGTAGGCGCTTGTGGAGTTCAATTTTGAAAAATGGAGAAGGAAAAAAGATATCGAAACTGAGACAGAAGAGGAACAAAATCGCAGAAGTTTTGTAGACCTGCCTAAAGAACTCAGCTTTATTAGTGAACATTTTTCCAACAAGTAATTTTCGACATGCATAATAAGTTGTAGTCGCTTGGCGAGAGTTCCGACGATGAAACATGATAGGTGAGACACAGTTTTGTAAACCAACCTGTTCACACCTGCAGGGTTATTTATACAACCTGGGTTCGTGCAATTTATTCGGAATAACTAAACCTATCTTTTAATTAGTGATGGATACATAATTTCCTAGGAGCGCAGGTAGCGAACTGGTTAGAGGCGCACTACAATACACATGGGGTCGATCTCGCACTCTAGGGTCACCAAAACTTCTCTCTCCGAAGTTGGGAAATTGGTATCAGACCTATATGGAGGGATAGCAGCAATGACTCGATACATTGGGAGATCACCGCGAGTTATTGTATAGACCAGATGAAGTCGAATACATAGTGCATCCCTCACCGTTTGGTGAACGACAAGAGCTTTAACCTTTATCTTTTTACATATCTTGTTCAGGATGTAAAGAATTGTGCTTAATTGCTTAACGCACTTAAACAACCACTGCAACCTTCTTTGGGTAAAAAATTCGGCTTTGAAAACTATTTAAGAGATCGACGCCTGAGCAGCCATTGTGCTGAAACTCGGGTATCGTCCTATAAAGACCATTCGTCGCTCATCACAAAGCTATCGAAAAACGGTTCGCTTTTGCTGCGTAAAAAAAACGAAGAGCAGGCTTCATAACGGTGATCTCATTCTCATTCAGTTCGTCCATCGATTAGTTATCGAGCTTCCTCATCTTTCCATTGCTTCCTTAGTTACAACCGGTTCTCGAATGGCTTTTAAGTTTTTGCACAATATGTCCCGTAGTTTTTAGACCTTCGACTAAGATTGTGAGTTTCATCTGGTCGTCATCAACTGCGGCAAGGCGTCCGCAACACCTTCGGTCATGAATACTCATATCTTCGGTATGGAAATTTTCGAGCCATTTATGTTTTGGGCATTCAGAATTGTGCGTTGGTGACACTTCAGGTTGCTACCCTGCCACACTTTCACGTTTAAACTCATAAACAAAACACTTTTCTCTGAGTTACGAGCACCATTCGAACCAGTCCAACATTGCTGTAAATTAGGTTATACAAACATTATTTGTAGAAAAAATGGTTCTGCAACAAATAAGCTTCAAAATGGCATGCAGGAACAATATAAGAAAAAAATGCCCTTGTTGAATTCGCAACAACGAAATCCACTAATAATTTGCACAAACTAGCTTTACATTGGGAGATCACCGCGAGTTATTGTATAGACCAGATGAAGTCGAATACATAGTGCATCCCTCACCGTTTGGTGAACGACAAGAGCTTTAACCTTTATCTTTTTACATATCTTGTACATACCCGTACTTTCATAATATTATGCAAAAATAGAATATCTATGCAACAATATTCCTCCATTGATGGGTGTGTGGCGCAATGGTCGGAGGCGCTGTGCAACACACGTGTAATCGATCCCCGTACCCGTGGCTTACCAAGCATTCCATCCCTCCAAGGTAGGCAAATTGGTACCAGAGTTGTCTGGGAGGACAGCAGCACTGGCTCGATACAACGGTTCGCCACCGCGAATCATTCTAAAGGCCAGATGTCATTCAATGACCTCCAGACGATGCTTAATGAAGTCGAATGCACGGCTTATCACTCAAAGAATGATCAACGTCGCATCCTTTATCCTTTTTATTAATCCTCCCTTGGCTTACCACCTTATCATGACTGGGGGATGTTCCTGAGTATCGAAATGAGATGTACAGTGAAGTTCATTCCGCACCTCGGAAAGCCCTAGCACTGGTTTCGAGATTCCAGATGGTTAAAACGTTTCCCAACCAATGAATCTAATGGAAATTTTTGTGGGATTCACATAACTCTTGGTGGTACTTGAAGACGCATCAAACTGTTCATGCAGGTAGAATATACACTTTGTACATAGCATTTCCCAAGACCGACTTTCTATCAGTCTCGGGATTGATTGATAGTTCACAGTTTCTTCATTAAGCAAATACGATGTTAATATTATAGAATTTATTAGCATATAATAGTTGACGTGACGGCGGTTTCGCCTTCAGAGCCGTTTTATTCTTTGTAAATACTCCAATTACTCGGAGGACAGCAACCGCACAGAGTTTTACGTAGGCAAGGGCTGTCATTCACTTAATTAATTAATCGGAGTGTTTGTAAAGAATAAAACGGCTCTGAAGAAGGCGAAACCGCCGACACGTCAGCTATTGTGTGCCAAGACATTCTGTAATATTAACCTCGTGTTTGCTTAATGAAGAAGAACAGTGAATTCTTCACGTACACTCACAAAGTAGCAGCACGGGTTGTAATTTCTCAGAATCGGATTTTTGTTAACTTCGACGTTAATAACCACCTTTTTCTATTCTTATAAACCCAAGGAAAGCCTCTTAAATATTAGAGAGATAATATTACACCAATCGTGTTTTGAATTCTTTCAAAAACAGGAATACAAGAGGTACTTAGACATCCACTGAAGGCCTGAATATTGCGAATACGTCGGAAAATACATTAAAATCTTAAATATTATCCTCTCATTAATTTAACCAATCACTCTAGCAGATGAGTGTCCCAGACGAGCAGTGATTGAAAACAAGGGCTTCATTGCCCCGGGCTCAAGCTTTCCGTCTCTCTACGCTCAGTATAACAGTGTTAGCCTTGTCTGGGAGGACAATAGCACTCACTTCATACATCGGCAGGCTACCGCAAAGCGTTATAGAGGTCAGAGCATCCAGTCACCCTCAGCGATGGTTGGTGAAGTCTAATGCTTAGCGCATTTCTCAAAAAACCATCGACACCGAACTATTTCTCCCTCTTTACATCTTCCGCCCGAAATCCCAGTTAAGAGTAAAACTACTCCCAAATATGTCCTAAAACAAACTAGCTGGGAGTTGACGGAATTCTTTGCATTAATGTGCGTCGACTACCTCTGCCGACAACCTTGGAATGCCAAGGCACGAATATTCGGGATTGTGGGAATAATGAAGCTCACGTGGCCAATAACTTGCCAGTTTCATGAAAAATCTCTGGAAACTGCAGAAACTTTCTTAAAGAGGCACTTATTTCATCAAACTACACTACTCCATGATATAGGTCGACGTGAGTTACGAATTGGTTTGAGCCATGTTGAGATTGTCAGGGCTCTGACATCGTGTTCTCTTTCATGAAAAGCAATAACGTATAAATCTGGAAAACTGGTACTTATTAGTAGTAAAGTAAAGTTAAATAAACAAAAACTATTCGAAAATGGGAATTTTGAGTGACTTTAGTCGTAGCACAACAGCTAAGTGACTATTCATTTGATTTCAGCGCAAGAGCGATAGCTTTCTACCAAGCATTGTCAACGGCGCATTCGTACCGACTACAGTGGAGCACATGGAGACATGGCGAGCCCTGGAGAAACTCCATAGCGAAGGAAAGCTCAAGGTCTGTGTAGATTTTTGTGTTACCAAAAATCTGGCGAGCGTAAATCCTACAAAATTTTGCTATTATAGATTTTTAAAGACTTAGCTTGCTCCAAATCATGTTTTTCCATGTCTCAATAATCAGGAACAGTAAACCGGACCCATCAGATATTGATATGATGAGTGGTCATGTGAGGTAAAGAAATCCTGAGTATTTGAGAGATCCTCAGTTTTTGCAAAGCATATTTTTAATACCTAATATATTTGATATATTTGACTTTCTAAAAGTTCATCCACATCGATCTTACGAATCAACTTAGATATTTTCGAAATCTAATGAAAGAAAGGGCGCGTATAGCGCAGTGGTCAGAGGCACCCTACAGTAAACATGGGATCAATCCTCGAGGCTCACCTAGCCCTCCATTGCTCCGGGGTCAGAAAATTGGTACCAGACCTAACTGGGAGGATAGTGGCACTGGCTCGATGGATCGATAAGCAACTGGGAGTCATTTTAAAGCCCAGATGTGTATTCAATCACCTCCAACGATGCCTAGTGAAGTCGAATGCATGGCGCATCCATCAGGCGTTCATCAACGCTGAGAGCTTTATCCTTTATTTCTTTATTAATGGGAGAAACGAGACACATCCCACAAACCTACAAAAAGTTTCCGTGCTTGTCCACTCACTCGTTTTAACTATACATTAATTACATTTATGCCAATCAACCCTACGCTTCTGTTCCTAATGTTCGTCTAAAATCGTCTAAAATCCGCTTCTGTGTCCAGTGAATAATTTTTTTTTTATGTCACTTCATCAGAGAGACTTTCTGTAAAACTTCCTACGGATCTTATTGAGAGAAAAACGGAAACGACAAGAGCAACAAGGAGTTATCGTCAACCACACGATCCTTGGTATATCATCAGTTCCAACTCCTCTGAACAAGGCCGCATCACCTTGAGTCTGCGAATTTACAGGGAATTCTTCAGCAAAAGATAGAACGTATCATGTTTGTTGGTTGGGTCAACAAAGTCATTCCGTAGTCCGAATCCATATTTACTGTTTAGTGGCTTTAAACAGTTGACAAATGCAGTTATGTTGCCCGATAATTTTTCGACAGTTAGACCTGAAATTTTGAGAATCTGATAGAACGCCAAAATCAGTAACACATTCGATGTCCTACTGAGCAAAATCTTGTTTCTTCAGTTACTTCGCAACGAGACATGCGGTTCATCTACAAAGTAATGGACTAGAACGAATAAAGAAAAGGAAACAGTGGGCAAAAAGTAAAGGATAAAAGAAAACAGCAAGCAATTCATGGATTCGAGTAACTTAGATTCTCATCGTGATAGAATAGGACGAAAACAAGTAATCGAACATACATACACCAGTCTCTGTTAGTCCTCCGTATCCTTCATTTTTGCTCCCATTCATTAGACACTCTAACTCAACTCCCACCACCGACTTTCTATTAACCTCGGCAGTGATGAAGTAACTTTTCGTATTCTTGTTGTGCGAACACAAGGTGTTACTTTTATTTTTTATTCACAAATAAACTGGCGTTTCGGCCGATTTAACCTTTCTCAGAACCTGGTAAGGTCAAGTTGACAGCAATCTATTCGGCCAAACACCTCCATAACCAAACAATGAAAACGCTAAACCAAGATTTCAATCACATTGAACACAGCTTTGCACACTCACCGCTTTCTATGAGGTCTCCACTAAGTATGTCGCGTGAAGACTAACCGCACAGAAATCACATGGAAGCACAATGCGCCCCTCTCATCAGAATAACAGCTTTATATACTGTCCAATATCACGCGTGATAATGAAGCATTCCTCCTTGCGGTTTTCGGATTTTTGGAATTAATCTAGAATGCCTCCAGAGTTTCGCGCGCTTGTGTTCTCGATTCCTACGCGATGATCGTAACCCTTACTTCAAAATTTTCTCCCTTATGTGTCTACGTCCTATGCGTGCTTAGTGGAATATTTGGCTTACGTTTGCCGACTAGGTGTTCTTTTATATAGACGCAGAATGGTCTACCCGTTTCGCCATTGTATTCGTCTCCGCACGCCACACAGGGGATCAGATAAACTGTACCCGAGCTTATGCAATCACCGTCTCTACTATTAGGACAAATTATGCAATTTTGCGTTGCACATAGACGGTCGTACAGGCGGTTAAGAACTAGCTGGCGCCTTAGATTACTCGGTGGCATTTCAATTATCGTTACCGAATTTTCTAGACCGGCCCTCCTCAAACAACGTTTTATAGCTGCACTTAGATCTTTTGAGATGAAGGGTAAGATAAACGGAACCTTTTCATCGCCAGAGTTGTCGTTTGGAGGCCTAAGGCTTTTCCTACACCTATCCTGAGAGATAGTTTCGTAGCCCTGAGAAATGGCTATTTACCGCGCCAAGTTCTGGGAGTCCTCTCTCTGCTCTCTTCCCGTGCACACGTTGCCCTTGCTTGCTGTTCGAAACATGTTTCTTACAAACGCCCTTTTCGTGTGAGAGGGGTGAGAGGAGAGGTAATGAACCAAGATGTTTTTACTACTTCGATTTCGATACCACTTCGTAATGTAGCCATTTTCTGACAGGTTAATTTGAACGTTCAGGAATGGAAACTAATTCTCTTTCCGTTTCTCTCGGGTGAACTTGATATACTCTGACTGTTCATTCAGTAACTCAAAACATTTGTCCATTTCCTCTTGTGGTAAGTAAAGGATAAAACAGTTATCTATATATCTACAGTAGAGTAGCGGCCCGAGATCGGCCTCCGGTGCTTCCACCTTAGACATAAGCGCAATGACAAGACTTCGTGCCAGTCGTTGTCCCATTGTCAACCCTCTTATTTGAGCGTAGTACTTTCCAGACCATTTGAAGATTGTGCAGCTCAAGCGTTCTTTTAAGAGTGCCATCAACTGCTCTATCTTAAAGCCATACATGTTTATTTTTCCTTCGTGTTGTATAAGGAGTTCGAACATGGTTTGAATTGCGGAGTCATTCAACACGTTTGTATTTTTAAAATTCAAGGCTAGCCGTGTTAGAAGGCATGAGTCTTCCTGAAGGTGCGCTCGTTATTAGAATTGGAACCGAGTTCCTCACCATCTGAACCCATTTCTAAGATAGCCTTGCGTAGGATCGCGTGTAGTTTACACGAACTTCAAGACAGACTCCGCAAAAAAGCAAGAGGTGAAACGCTAAATAGGTGCGAACAACACTAAGTGGGGGCCCTACAAATAGCACCATTTCCCCCGCCGTTCTCTAGACAACAAGAGCCCAATAATGAAGTTGATGTTAATTTTCGGATGTTTGCGAATAAAACTCTCAAAGTCCTTAATCACTATCGCACGAAAAGATACAGCTCAAACCTCACTCCAGTGCAAAAACGTGGTATGCGAGAGGTACGAGAGCTGATAGGGTTGAAAACATAAGATTATCCGTTAGTGATAAGTGTGGAGAATTTATTGTAATTCTCCATCAGTGAGATGTTGAGATAACGAAAAAGCATCTTCAAGATGCTTCACTTTATCGCCCATCATCTGAGAAGGAGTTTAAAAGTAAATACCGAAAATTAAACCACGATTGGGCTAAAATGGCAAGGACTGCTGGTTTGAAACCATCAGTTATCTTACAACTAAAAGTTGACTTACTAACGTGCCCCGTCTTGTACTTGCTCATGAAAACTTATAAGCTAGTATCCAGCGATGATCTTGCGTCTACCGATCCATCACTGTTTAAGGTTAGACCTATCATTAGCTGTGTAGATGGGCCAACTGATAGGAAAACACGGCTTTTAACCCTAATATTTAACCGGTTCTCGAAACACATTTCAGCCCACTTTACGAATACCAGATGTTTCTGGATCGTCTACGTACTGCATAGCCCAGCAGCGCGTACGTGATGGAGTCCTTCGACGTTACCGTCCTTTACACAAACGTGTCGAATGACTCCGCAATGACAGCCATGTTCGAACTCCTTATACAACACGAAGGAAAAATAAACATGTATGGCTTTAAGGTAGAGCAGTTGATGGCACTCTTAAAAGAATGCTTGAGCTGCTCAATCTTCAAATGGTCTGGAAAGTACTGCGCTCAAATAAGAGGGTTGACAATGGGTCAACGACGGGCACGAAGTCTTGTCATTGCGCTTATGTCTAAGGTGGAAGCACCGGAGGCCGATCTCGGGCCGCTACTATACTGTAGATATATAGATAACTGTTTTGTGCTTTGCTCAACACAAGAGGAAATGGACAATCGAGATTTGAGATTAATTTGCCCTAATGGTAGAGACGATGATTGCATGAGCTCGGGTACAGTTTATCTGATCTCCTGTGAGACGTGAGGAGGCGAATACATTGGCGAAATGGGCAGTCCCCTCCGTGTCCGCATAATAGAACACCAAGTCGGCAAATGTAAACCAAATACCCCACTAAGCACGCATAGGACCCAAAGACGTAAGGGGGACGACTTTGAAGTACGTGTCACGATCCTCGCGCAAGATTCGAGAACATAAGCGCGCAAAACTCTCGTGGCATTCTCTATTAATTCCAGAAATCCGAAAATGAACCGCAGGAAAGTGGTGGCTGTGCAAAGCTGTGTTTAGTGTGATTGAAAACTTGGTTCAGCATTTTCTCTGTTTGGTTATGGAGGTGTTTGGCCGAATAGATTGCTGTCAATTTGAGCTTTCCAGACTCTGAGAAAGGCAAAAGCCGAAATGTCAGCTTATTCGTGAATAAAGAATAAAAATAACACCTCGCGTTTGCTCAACAAGAATGCGAAGAATTACTCTAACTTAACGTAAATGATGCTGAGATATTTGCAAAACTCCGGATTACAGGTGCCTGCAGTAAGGAACGAACGCGCTATTGTCCTTTCCGGGGAGTAACGCGTTCACCACCACACCATGTGGGTCCTTCGTTTCGCCTATCTCTCAACTATACTTAAACTATATTCTAACTTAAATTAGCTTTATTCGGCTAACTTTTCGACGTCTTCGTCTTCATCAAGACAAATGATTGATCGGCTCGGATCATCGGCTCTGATGAAGATGGGTCGAAATGGTAGCCCAATAAAACCAATTTATCAATTTCTTGTAAACTCAACAAGTTAAATACAAGCGTTAATTATTTTACTACCGAGGTTAAATGACGGTCGGCTTGCGAAGCACTGTTTTACCATAACTCACTTTGTTGCCTAAATTCATATTCCGTCGAAAGCTTTCATGAACACGTATATCACATCTTCACAACTTCGGTGCTCGTTTTTAAGGCTTTGGGATTTTCGAACTTTAATGCTGAACAGGTTGAGCTACTCTATAGACAAGCACGCGTAAAACCGGCAAACCTTCAGGTGAGATGTGACGATTATTTTCAAAATTGTTTAGGAAGCAAAAGTCTGAACTTGCTTCTACACTTCGATTTCAAATATCCAGAAGCTATTCTTATGTTGTCATTCAAATCTAAAATCCGCCACAGATATGTATCTGTTTATATTGTATACACATTGTGTACATGTCATATTGTATCTACTAAAATCTTTTTGCCCTAGGCTATTTCTCAGTTACACATTAATTTCTGATATTTAGGTAGAATGTCACCTCTACTGGCCTCAGGATGAACTGCGTAATCTTTGTAAGAAGCTCAATATTTCATTCACTGCCTATGCACCTTTGGGATCACCCGGTAGAAAGGTGATATTATTTTATGCGTTCTTTCTCACCACTTATGAATTCCATAAGATTTTTTTTCAAATGGAGCTATATTGAAGTAGGATAGAAATGCCGATCCTTCATCAGGTAGATATATGAATATATGATATATATATGAACAGCAAAAGTTAGTAGAATTGTAATTAATCATAGATCGCTATCTAGTGATCAGATTTATTTTGGGCCGCTCATCCTGATGGTGTATGGCCCGAGGGCGATCCGATGACAGAGCCGATAGTAAAGAAGATTGCTGCTAAACACAAGATAACTGCAGCCCAGGTGTGCCATTTTATGTTTACTAATGGACTTTGCGAAGTTAAATGATTGTAAAGGAGTTGACTAGCTAAAGAGTTTGAATTTGAAGTGAAAACAGCAACAAAATCCTATTTTATCGAATATGCAAGAAAACGAATGGTATCGAGATTGGTGATTAAAGGTATAGTGAAAAGGGTCCTAACGGCACGTAACTGTTCTATCTATGTGTCTACTTTCTAAGGTGCCCCTTGTTGGTATAGCACATTTGCGTTAGTAATGGCGCACAGGACCCATAGTATAGAACTTATTGCGTTTAGAAAATAGTCTACGGAGGAAACTATGACTCGTTAGAGCTTCCAATACCAATATAGTGGCGATTCTTCGAATACACTAAGGGCTTTTGTGACTCCACTTAGTTGGTTTTCAATATATGACATAGTTATTGAAATTTCATGCCACCAAAATCCTTTTCTTTCATATCAAGACACTCCGTAAACTTGATAATGAAGACTTTTTTAAAAGACGTGACCAGATCTCACGTTCGTATACAGGATTCTGGGCTAATGCAGAGGTTCTGCTTGAGACGAAAGACATCAGCTATACTTTTCGTAGTCTAATTTTTTGTTGTCAGTTGCAAGTTGGTAGAATAATTCACGACTCTGTTGTCCAATATCGAAGCGTTGTAAAGCAAATTTGTACCATTTATAGGAACGTGTTCCATTTCCAGGTTCTTCTAAGGCATCTTACACAGCACGGAATCTCGGCAATCCCAAAAAGCATTAGTCCTGATCGGTAGGTTGCGTGAAACATAAAATCTCTTCCATAAAACAAACAAGACAACAGAAAATACACGTGGGATATCTGACATCCACATTTTCATGAATATTCCTGTAACCCGTGTGGCGCAGTGGTTCGAGGCGCCCTGCAAGACACATGTGGAATCGATTCCTGCGCCCATGGCCCGCCAAGCCTCCATCCCTCCGGTAAATTGGTACCAGACTTGTCTGGGAGGATAGCAGCAGTGGCTCGATACGTCGTTAGGCCACCGTGAGTCATTGTAAAGGCCAGATAGGCATTCAATCACCTGCAATGATCCTTAATGAAGTCGAACACATGGCGCATCCCTCAAGGATTGATCAACGCCGAGAGCTTTATCGCTTGTCCTTTATTCCTGTGATCCATAAAAATTTAGACCTGGAATAGGAAGTGGTGCAAGGATATCGAATTTGCACAAGAATATATTTCCAGGGTGGTCGAAAATATATCTATATTCAATTTCAAGCTAAGTCCTGAAGAAATGAAGGAACTCGACGACGTCAAAACTAGGATAAGGCTATTCGTATTCGATTTGTAAGTTTTGAATTTTGTCTGAATTCCATCGTGAAATAGGATGTATAGTACTAATCAGCCTTTAAAATCGAATGCCCATTGTATTCACTTCTCATACTATTTGAAATATAGCACTGTGCTTTGTTTTAACACTCTTATGATGAATATAATCACAATTCAGCGCCTTCGGCCATCCATTCTTTCCTCATAACGACATCAACCAGACGCAACCACCTAGATCAGCGCTAAGACTGCACTGAGATACTAACAAAACAATGAGGATTTGATGGATTTCCTCAAATATAAGTTTACCTTCATAATTTGCCAATAAAGATTAATTCTCAGTATACTAAAGAATATTGTACGCTGATGCACACTCCAAGAAAAAATTTTAAACACTTTAACCCTTACGCCAGTGTGGCCTATTTCGTTGGCAAATCCACCAGACCGAGTGTCATTTGAGTGCGCTCGAAGCGCACGTTGAAATCAAGATGTACTGTGCGTCAGTCCTGTCAAAGAGCACAGTGTACCGGTTTCTTAAGGCCATCGTCCTATCACTCGGTTACGTTATACGTTTTCTGTCTCTCTAACTGCTACTTATTCGGTATGTCCCTCTGTGAAAGTTCTTATTTTCTTGAACACCACTTGCATGTAATGAAAAAACTCAGTTCACTCCCTAACCATTGTGTTATTAGGTATTGTACGTCTTGAGCATGGTTTTGCACGATATTTGAAGTACATATTTGTCTTTCCTATAGTTTTTCAAATCCACCGTGCGAAAATAGCTTTTCTCAAGTACAGCGTATTAAGAACACCTACCCATGGCTTCGCCCCAGCATAAAATCTGCGTTTGATAAACTATCGACTGACTACTAAAAGTCCACTAAGAACCGCTTTGCGGCAAAATAAACCAACAAATACCGTGCGCACTGAAATAAAGGTATGCGATATGGAACATACTGTAGCGTACATATCGGAATCAATGCACATGGCCCCGTAAGGATTCAGAATACTGAGTGCACCGCAATATAATAAAATTATGTTTCACTCGTAATGCAGTAATACCTAAAAGAAAGTCGAGTGGGAATCGATGAAACCTCATTTATCTCCTTCGCACATCAGAATCCACTCGATCATGTGGCGAGAATTTTGAATTCGGGACATCTTTCTTACTACTGTCAAAACGGTAGTCATCTATAGTGTGGAGGGAGGAAACATGAAAGCAATATTACGAATCTCTACATTATCATTACATCTATCATTAATCACATAACTACAAATAGAACATATCGTATTCTGAGTCATACCACTCATAACAAGAAAAAAACTGGTTGGCAGCCGATGTGCCGAAAATAGAAACAGTAAAATATTCAAAACCACCTTTCTTAACAACAGCTGAACAACAACAACAACAACAAAGCAAAGCAACAACACGATGATATAAAGATAAGATCACTAAAGATAAGAAAGCACACATCGTCACCTCATGAATGACTCAAGATGCAGAAATCTTCACATATTGCTGTCTTAGGCGAGCATTCTCACGTTACTTTTGTACTCCTCTATCACTGGTTGCACCCACCCATAATCAATTATTGACACATCGCTGGAACAAGTCGATTGTTTTACTTCCACTTTTACCACTTTTTTCTAATTTCACCATACTCTCCGAGAACAACTAAAAGAAGAGCGATTTTAACCTGGACAATTTTAGGCGTGGTATTTTTCATTCTGTATCATAATTCGCTTTTTCCACTTATTTCCATCTATACTATCAGGTGCGCAATTTAAAAGCAGTAATATTTCATTTCCATTCAGCCACAAAAACGAAACTGTCCAGTAGAGGGCTTACCTACACCACCAAGTGCAATAATAGTTCACAACGGATGCTATTTTCAAAAGTTCTCCAATTTAACAGGCAAGCTTCTAAATGAATAAAAAACCACAGTAAATAAAGTAAACGTCGAAGTCCAAGATAAACTGTCTAAGACAATTGCAAAACATAAGGTAATGGACTATAGGAAAGCATTATTAAAGTATAAAGTACAAACGATTACAAAAACTACCCCAACGGATCCAATCAGTTTCACTGATATCGATTATTCAACCACAACACCAAAACATACAAATCTTACCGCGCATACAGATCCGTAGTTCGGACGAGATCTGTGAACACGATATGTCGAGCACACGACTGAAAACGAATATGCTGTAGAACAAATTTCCACTCATCAATTACGATACAAGCACTATTAAGCTGAGGTACTTGCAAAACTCTGGACAGCAGGTGTCTGCAGTGGGGATCGAACAGGCTTTTACCCTTCCGAGGCTAACGCGTCCACCACCACACCATGCACGTCCTTCATTTAGCATTTCTCTCAGCTGGTTTTCTATCCACCAGTTCCATTAGCAATCACCCGTTAACGGAATTGATGTGTGAACCCCAAATTACGATAGAGCCAACCACTAGCCAAAAATGAATTTATGTTGAACGAGAAGCATTAAGATCGCGGGATTGTGCCTTACTTTTTACACATTTTTTAAGATGGTCTACTCCTGCAACTCAACAACAACGTCAACAAAAATAGAATTTAGATTAAATGTTAAAAATATACTCTCACGGCCTTCACACAAGTCTCAATTTGAGATCTCATATTGGCAGAATTGAGTGCCCACTTTAACCTTCCAATGGTTGAAACCAATCTTTCATTTGCAGTAACTCCACTTTAGACCATTACTGCATCGGAAACAGTAGCTTTACAACAAGCTTTTTTCTTCGGAAATGTTTCAGCATCAGATTAACTTGGTGATGGTGGTTTTCGTCTTAGGAACTTTGAGCATTTTCAACTTTAAAAAGTCTCTCATCTGACTATGACATCTGACATCTTCAGTGTACTTTGAAGATTTTCGGCAATCTCTTGCATTTCTCCAGTCGATTTGCTTTAGCTCTATGGTCCAACTGTTCTCCCCAAAGCAGACCAAATACCCTGCGTCGAAGCGCTCTTTTACTACCCATTGGACAAAGGAGTCTGCTACTGAAGACATTTATCAACGCCGTCAAGGCTTATATGTCATTTCTGTTTAATCCCGTTCCTGAGAAATCAATGGATCCTCCAGATATTCAACGTTTACAAACGACTATATTTCCGCTTCCCAATATTTCCTCCGTGTTTCCAGCACAATAACCTTCTGGACAGTTCTCAATTGTTTTAAGCGACTATGTGAACATGCTTTCTCACATCGAAGAGACAAAGCCAAATAAATTCGGACAGAAAGAACAAACGGCGCAAACACTAAAAATAAACAAAAAACGAGACGAATTAAAACGGACACAAGAAGGAGGAACGCAAATGATGCTTCCATATTTTCCAAGCACCGTTTATATTCCAGAACTGAATTTTTAAACTTAGGTTAACTACGGTGGACTGCGCTACGTATATATGACAGGCAAAAGATCAAGTTCATTTCTAAACAGTATTGCTATGCACACTAACACATCTCCCACGTTATAGTATACTCGATGGCAGGAGGAAAAAAGACCTACGCGTGAAAGTCCTGAAGAAGGATGAACTTTCAGAGTCGTACTTGGCTTAACCAGTAATCGATATCGGTCCTCTTGCCGATCATACTCACAAACGTTCATAAATAATCCACATGCCAAAGCTTGCCTGAAAATAGAGGAATCGATAAAATTGAAGCACCAACTCAGAAGGAGGAAGTGGACAGCAGGAATGTACCGTAGCGCTTAAAGGTATTTTGCGATGCCTATGGGACGTAGAGGTGCGTGTGGCACGGTGGCCGGAAACGCCCTGCAATACACACGTGGCTTCGAGGATGGATGGTGGATGCAATACACCTAAGCTGGCGGGCATCAAGCCTTCCATCACTCCGGGGTCAGCAAATTGGTATCAGAACTCTCCGGAGGGTAGCACCACTGGGTTGATAGATCGGTAGGCCAACGCGAGTCATTGTAAAGACCAGATATGCATTCGATCACCTCCAACGATGCCTAGCGAAGTGTATGGCGCATCCCTAAAGGAGATTGACCAACGCCGGCAGCTTTATCGTGTATTACTTCATGGCATGCAGAATAGACGTAAATGGAACTTACCGCAACTTTTCTCGTTGCGCTCCACACGAAACCACACGCATGCCGCATTCTTGGGCGATTTCACGCAGTTGCTTGCGCACCTTCAGCACCATTACAAGGTTTTTGAAGTTAAGGCAATTATGCTGACACCACTCCTAAAAATCCAAAGAGTGTAAATTGCAAAGCTCATAAGCACTTTAAACTGGCAAGCTTCGTACCTTTACAATATGGTTATTTTTCTTCTGCTCCCTTCTGAATGCCTGTATAGCGTTCAGCACTGAGAGATGATCACTAGCGCTTACAGAAAACCTGATATGAGAAAAATGTTAAGAGCATAGGAATCATAGATAGAATCCAAATATTAGCATATTCCTACCAGATAAAACTTATCATGGAATTGAACAGGAATGTGTCATCAACACAAAATTTGACATAGAAGTTTCAAGATAAAAAGCCCTAGATATTTTAAAACAACGCATCTTAGCAAATTTTTCCTAACGAATATCCCTCTCACGGCAAAACATCTTGCCAATCAAACAAAAAAAAAATCAACGTTAGCGAAAACTTTGGCATAGTTTTGGATAGCATTAGAGATTTTGAAGTTACTAGATATAAAAAAAATCTACATATTGCTGAAAAAGAATCAGATCCACTCTCGTATAGCCCGCAGACCGGAAAACTTTTGTTGGTAACCAAAACCTCCAAGCGGTTAACTCCCTCATTGTGACCGCAAGAACTTCCTGAGTATCGCGCTGCAATATACAGCGAGGGGGATTCATACCCGACAAGGTCTCCCAAGATGAGGGGTTCGGCGTTTCCATGAGGAAGCCTAGCTAAAAGTAAACCAATACCAGTATCCAGCACCGTCCTGGTGTCAAACTAACATTGTTGAAAATCTCTCTTTGATCCGCAACGGCGACGACTACCTGTGGTGATGACGACTTGAGGCGGACTTTGGCCAGGCTGACCTCGGGACTCCAGGGAACCACAATGACTAAGCCTGAAAAACTCCAAAAAGATGGAGATTATGCTGGGGCCCGCACAACCAGTCAAGATGGCCATTCTAGGTATTGCGTATGAAGAAAAAAAGCGTTGTATGGTGTTGTGAGATATGCACGCATTTATGCCAGAATAAAACATATTTACTGGTGGGTTGCCTCTAACATTCCTATATAGAGACCCTTTGGTTTCAACAAACCTTGTTCAGCACTTTAGAAATACCTAGGAAAGATAAGCATTTTCATTTATTCAAATGAAGGGTGGAGTTGTACCAAGAATTCGGTGCTAAACTCTAATTACACGCTAAAAAACAACTCCAAATAATGACTGCAACAAATCAGTAACCTACTTCTGGATACTCTACAGAGTTCCACTTCATAAAATGCAATTGATGCATAATGTGATAAGAGACAAATATTTCCCTCACTTACCGAGCCCGTATTCGTTCAATTTCTTCGGCCTCTCCCTGATTAGATTGATCAAAAACGGTTTCACAAGACAATGAAGCAATAACTGTTAAGGCTTCCTCCAAACACGACAATTCATTAGCGACTATCAAAACCCTAGATTGGAACTCAATTAAAGCAAAAATCCGGTAGCACTTAAGCACAGAATGCAAATAGAAGCAAATACGCCTTCTTTCATTGATACGTTAACACAAAGTTGATGAACAACTTTACTCTGTTAACGCTTCGGCGCCTTCGCCTTTCTGAGACCCGAATTGCTACCATTCGATTGTCTACAGTTCTTGCTTTTTCTGATGTGCGTTTTCGCGATATCATGGAGTCAAATCCAATGAAACACCGATCTATAGGATCAATCCGGAACTAAGCAGGGTGCCGAAACGTTTGCCGGATAAAGCTCTTTATCAACGTCGTGTTAGTTTGTAAGTGAAAAAATACATGCTGGCTTGTCAAACCGACCTTAAAGGAAAGCCGACTTTTGAAAAAGTAAAAATACTACTTCAGGCGATTTTATAAGCTTCGCAGAAGAACAGGAAATATACCTTGCTTGATCAGGAGGAATAGGAAATTTGCATAACGTTCTTCCTACGTGAGTCAATACCATATTTTTTCCTTCTATGGTTGCAGCTCCAAGAGCCTAAATTAAATGACTGCAATGAAAAACTAAATAATGACAGAAAATACGTACTCATTAGAATGCTAAATAAAACTAATTGATTCCAAATGGTGTGGTGATCAATATTTAGTGTTACTGCTGAGAACACAAGAGATTATAACAAGAGATTTTTATTGCGGTTAAAGTTTCCACAATATTGTCGACAGAAACCGATCACCGCACAGTTTTTAATCAATTCGAATTCACCCAATTATGCGAAAACCTACATCGTATGAAATAAAAAGTAGAAGAGTAAAGCTCTCGGCGTTGGTCAATCTGTGAGGGATACGCCGTGCAATCCACTTCACTGAGCATCGTTGGAGAACATTTAATGCATATCTGTCCTTTACAATGACTCGCGGTGGCCTATAGATCTATCGACCCAATAGTGCTACCCTCTCAGACAAGTCTGGTACCAATTTGACGACTCCGGAGTGAAGGAAGGCTTGGTGAGCCACGAGCCACGAGGATCGATCCCATGCGTGTATTGCAGGAGCCTCCAGCCACTGCGCTACACGCGCTCATATCGTAGGAAAAACTGCTGTAAACACTGAATTCAAATCAACACAAACTAGCCGCAAAAAACCTTTATACCAATAATAACCTGGTGTATATTTACGAATAAACTAATATACCGATCACCAATGACAATGTTAGCCTGGAAATTTAAGTTGGTATTGCAAATACCCATTCTAAACGAGATAGATGAAGAAGCTTACCATAAGCTCCTTTTCCGCAGCCACTAAGCTCTCTTGGTCGGGTTGTTGGATAAGCTTCAGCTTTCGTGGTCGTCGAAGTCCTAACGCCAACATATCCAGTAGCACCTGGACAAGTTTACTACACTTAATCCCATAATCAAGACAAATTCTGTTAATGTTAAACATTGCAAAGAAAACCATGCGAAGGAAAAAACTAAGAAAAACACACTGAATGGAAAATATTCAAACCTACTGCTGACAAATTACTTCGAAGAATTTCAGGAACACTACAAAGTTGCAGTTTTTCGAAGTGCTCGAGTGGATAAAGGCTAAAAATGCTATTTAAAACAGAAAATCTCAAAATGCAAAAAATATCACAACAGAAGCTAGAAGATTTAATAAAAATGAGCAGCGCCACAACGTCAGTACCGGTAGCACTTTCCAGGAGCTTCCCGTCCTGCTCGACCAGTTCTCTGTATCGCTTGTGCTTTGCTCACATCATGAACTCGCAACACATCTATGCGATCGCTAGCAGTAAAATACCTTAAACACTGCAGATAGAGAAGAAACATGGTTGAAATCGATCATTTCAAAAACATGGTTGAAATCGAAACAAACAGCTTTAAAAATATGAAAAGCCCCAACCATGAAAACATTCATGTTTAGTAACACTGGAAGAATCGGAAAAACGACTGAATAATTGTCTTTTGCAGCTTTACAAAGCAAAGAAAATACACTGTTATACCTTTTTATTTTCTGCCTATTATAATTTCGCCGCAAAGAAAATAATTATAGGCACTATGTAAGCCAGTCCTCCTAACGGTTAACCGCCTCGTTGTGGCTGGGAGGTGTTCTAGGGTGTCGAGCTGTTATGTACAGCGCGGAAAATCATACCCCGGCAAGGTCTCGTAAACTGAGGAGTTCGCTGTTTCCACCAGGAAGCCCAGCTAAGAGTAAACCAATACCAGGATCCAGGACCGTCCTGGTATCGAACTAGTCGCATGGTGGCAAACCTCCCTCTGATCAATAAGGGCAGCGAATGCTTGTGCTGGTGATCATATGAGGCAAACTTTAGGTAGGCTGACCTAGGAACTCCAGAAATGGCATAATGGCTTAACTAGCAAATCTCCGATAAACGGTGATTATGCTGAGGCCTGAAAAAACCAGTGAAGAAGGGCCATTCAAGTACCCAAGTAAATGAGCATTTTAACCAATCAATGGATACGTATTTACTAGCAAATAGTATGGAGGAATTATTTCAAACGCTACCTTGTTTTAACTTTGCCAGAATCAATCACCACACGTACTCCAGGTATAGTAAGTGAAGTTTCCGCAATATTTGTAGCTAGGACGACCTTTCGATGACCCTATAAATAACCCACTTGGATGAAAAATGTTGTTTCGAAATGCTCTGAATACCTGGATATTATTCGCTATAGTACATTCCGGAAGTGGAAATTAAAAACGCTCAAGCGAAAACCCGAGTATGTTTTCCTAATAGTAATGGTCTTTTAAGTAAAGATATCGGCTTTCAAAAAATTGTAAGGAAATGCTGAAGAACAAACCACTGGTGGCGGTTCGAAAGCCTTCAATTGTGCCACGCTGCTCAATGCAGCAAATAGAGGAACAGGATAGATAGGATTCTCAAAATGCCGGTTCAGCTCTCGAAGTTTTTTTGTAGCACACTCGATTTCTTCTCTTCCAGTTAGAAACACAAGGAAATGATCACTATAATTAGATACTGGAATGTAGTAAAAAAAAAAACTCACATATTCCATTTAGAGCACAAGTTTAGTGCGCTGTCGAAACAAAGAAAGTGAATTAGATAAATGCAAATCGCAAGTACAGCTATTTAGCTCTAAAAAAAAGGATAGAGCTCTCGGCGTTGACCAATCCGTGAGGGATGTGCCATGCATTCGATTTCATTAAGAATCGTTTGGAGAATGAATGCATATTTGGCTTTAACATGACTCGCGGTGACCTACCGATATATCGAGCCAGTGGGGATATCCTTGCAGACAAGTATGGTACCAATTTGCCGACCCCGGGGGGATAGGAGGCTTGGTGAGCCTTGGGCGCGATCGATCCCATGTGTACTATAGGGCACCTCCGACTACTACGCTACACACGGCCCACTATTCAGCAAGAAAGAAGATTTAGGGCAGCATACCAAAGTGGCTCCTGTTGATGAAGATCCTTGATGCATACAAGGCTATTGAAGACATAGTCCGAGTTTTCAGGATTAAGCTGCGCGTGGAAAACCTGTATCAAAGAATACAGTAAGAACATTGATTAACATTACAGAGTCGCAAAACTTACTTCTTCTAGACACATACCTCAACAGGGAACGTTCGCCCTTTTACTATGAAAACTGGAGCATCATTAAAATACCAAGAAAACAATTTGGCTTCCAATGTAGCAGACATTATGATAATACGAAGTTTATGTAGATTAGACTCATTTCGCTGACGTTGGCACAAACGTAACACATCGAAAAAAGTTATAAACACTCAAAAGTTTTCGAAGCGAAAACATATTTAAAAAATGATAAAAGACAAAGCTCTCTACGTTGACTAATCCCTTAGGGATGCACTATATATTAGACTTCACTAAGTATAGTTGGAGGTGATTGTATGCATTCTTGGCCTTTACAATAACTCGCGGTGGCCTACCGATGTATCGAGTCAAAGCTGTTACGCACCCAAACAAGTCTGGTGCCAATTTGCCCACCACGGAGCGATGGAAGGCTTGGTGGACCAGGGACGCAGGAATCAATCTGTGTATTGGAGGGTGACTCCGACTACTGCGCCACATGCGTCCATTAAAAAAATTACAAAACACAGTTATTAGAACAAAACTAAAACCTCGAAACCAAAATTAAACTTTAAAAGCTAGAAACATAAACTAAAACATCCTCACTTAACAAAACGTCAGTGTGAAGGCTACGTTCATGCGCCTCATCCACAATTATAGTGTTGTACTCCTTCAAAAAAGGATCATGAATAGCTTCTCTGAGTAGAATACCATCGGTAAGATAAGAAATCTGCGTAGTCTTCGACATCTGCTTCTCAAATCGAACATGATATCCGACCTATACGACAAATACTTATACAAAATGTTGGAGTGTATAAAAAACAATTCAAAATGTTAACCTTTTATTTGCAGCCTACTGAAATTTTTCACTGTTGGGTATGATGTGAAATGCAACCACAATGAAGCTGAGATATTCGCAAAGCCTGGACTCTGGGCCAGATCAAACCAAGATTTCCTTCTACGGGGGCTCACGTATTACACATTGCACATCACGGAGGCTCTTTGTTTGTGTTTCCCTCAGCTAGTTTTCTACCTAATGCTGCAATCAGCAATCACCCGTCAGCGGAATTGTGGGAAGCACAAATCGGCATTGAACCCAGTCAAGCTTAGGCTGAGTCACCTTGATAAACTTCGAACGAGAACAAAATGTAATGTAATTTCTATTTTGACAAAGAAGCTACTTACTTGTTGTCCCACTGAAGTATTCATCTCCCTAGCTACCCTATCTGCCAAGGAGACGGCTGCTAAACGACGGGGCTGTGTAACCCCAATACGGCCGTTTCTAGCCAGCCCAATGCGAACGCAATACTGAAACCGTGAAGAGTACGAATTAGTGATCTTGTTTCCATGCGATGAAAATAACATTATCAAAACAAAAAACTAGGAAAACAAAGGAACGCTCTGGGCGAATTTTGATGGAAAATCGAGCACTTCCAAAAATATAGAAGTTATTGAAACTTTAACCGTGGAGTATAACATAACATGACAGTAAAGACGGTCATTTAGGCCAATTATGAAAACAAATATTTAGCTTTTTAAATTTGCAGATTTCTCACGCACAAACACATACATACGCATATATTTACATGTAATATATATATATATACGTGTATATATATATATATATATATATATACGTACATATATGTACATTTAGAGGGGAATAGCACGGTGGTAGTGCTGCACGTCGTCACGACCATCGTGTTAGTTCGATGCTGCTCCGGGTACGCCAAGCCTCTCATCTTTCCGGAATCGGGACATTGGTACAGAACTTGTCTAGAGAAAAAAATCAATCTGCAATCGAACTGGGAACGCTCCAGATTAACTATCTCGGGCCTCTAGACGGAATCATTCGACCAACATTCCACGACATTCAAGATGGAATGGAAATCCTCAAGCAGCAACGGAAGCCACACGTAAAAGTTCGAAGACCTTCGTGGATAACGGATGCGAGGCAAGGAATCGAAATCGAATGTGAGAAGTATTAGGATCAGACGTGATGATGGGTCATATAAAAGTAAAAAGAAATATTTATTTACGTAATTTCACGAACTGGTCCTTCCCAACGGTTTACCGCCTCGTGGCTGGGAGGTGTTTCTAGCTCTCGGACGGCGATGTACAGCGACGTGATTCGTCCCCATGGCAGAGTCTCCCAAGCTGAGGAGTCCGCCGTTCCCATCACGAAGCCTAGCTAAGAGTAAACCAATACTATGATCCACCACCATCTTGGTATCAAAGTCGCGTGGTGGCAAATCTCCCTCTGATCCACAACAGCCGCGACTGCCCATGGTGGTGAAGACCAGGGGCAGACTTTGGCCAGGCTACCTCGGGATTTCAGGAAACCATAATGGCTTGAGTAAATCTCCGATAAATGGTGACTATGCTGAGGCCCGCACAACCAGTGAGGACGGGCCGGTCAAGTGCTAAATGTATAAACTGGTCTTCTTAAGATGATGCGAGGTTGGTACAGGTCTTCGTTGTCGTTGCTGTTGGTGCTATGCTGTTACGAGAGTCCCACTCGTAACATCACGGCTCTGAGGAAGGCGTAATCGCCGAAACGTCAGCCGTCCACCAACAAGAACAACAGCAATAACAACAATAACAACAACAACAACAACAACAACAACAACAACAACAACAAAAACAACAACGACAACGACAACGACAACAACGACAATGACAACGAAGACCTATACTAACCTCGCATTAGCTAATAAATATATCAACTATCTATGCTGAGGCTTATAGAAAGTCGGTTTTTTGAGTTATTAACACCACACACATGACACAAAACCCTTTAGCTTTGCGCCTAAGCGCTAATATGACATTTCATCAAAACACTAAATGAATAGGATTTATCCAAAGACACAGCGGTTTCACATACCTGTGGCACTTGCGTGCTCTTCCCGCAGCCAGTTTCTCCAACGAGTATCACGGTGTCGTTGTTGTGGATGCTCTCCATGATCTGATATTCCACATCGTGAATGGGCAAGTGCGTCCTATTTGCGATATCCTATAAGACATAGTTGAGACACAGTCTTCAGTCGTTAGATAAGGAGACTTCAATTATTGCAGTAAAATGATCTAGACCTTCTTCAACCTCATCCTCGACATTGGCAGTTCTTGGCCATCTTGGCCAAGCAGACCATCTGAAAGTTGTCATTCGCAAATTTTATCATCCGAACACATTGCAATGGCTCAAAAGAATAAACTTTAAACCTTAAACACTAACATAAACCACGTCACAAACCTTGTTTCCTCTTAAACTTATTGCCCTTTGAGTCACACATGTTAGCATCGAACAAAACTGTTGTGAAACTGGCACAATAGTGCGACAAACTGGCCCTCTGTTCTGCATTTGCGGTCGTCAATGCTCCCACGACTAAACGTTGCGATCGATGCTAATGGTGCCGCAATAACTATGGGTCTCGCTAGATCTGCAGTTTTACTATAGTATTCGTCGATACGACTTTCTCTTTGCAGTGGATATGTGAATGGAAGTTTAATATAGGCTTTACATTCAAATATTTCCTTTAAAGAGTACCGATCCTCCTATCGCTTTACCGCCTTATCGTGGCTCGGAGGTGTTCCTGAGTGTCGCCCTGCGATGTACAGCGGAGTGATTTTTTCCCCCCAGCAAGATCTCACAAGCTGAGAAGGAGTCCGGAGTTTCCATCGGGAGGCCCAGCTGAGTGTAAACCAATGCCAGGGTCCACCACCGTCCTGGTATCGAACTAGTCTCATGGTAGCAAATCCGACTTTGATCTAAAAGAGCCGCTGCTGTTTGTGGAGGTAAGACATGAGGCTGACCTTAGGACTCCAAGGAATCACAGTGGCTAAACTAGCAAAACTCCGAAAAAATGGAAATTGTGATGGGGCTCCGCACAACCAGCGAAAAAGGGCCATCCAAGTATCCAAGAGTAGGACCCGCATGGTGTGGTGGTGAACGCGTTACTCCCCGGAAAGGACAATAGCGCCTTCGTTCCCCACCGCAGACACCTTTGGTCAGGAGTTTTGCAAATGTCTCAGCATTTCATACGAGTTATATTTCGCAACATAACCTGCCATTAAGAAGAAAAAAGGCAGTAAATAAAAGAGTTAAAACCGTCATTCTTTCACCATCAGCAAATTCGTTCCAGACTTGTCTTCGAGGGAGGAAAGAATAACCTACTGCGACATTGGCAGATTCCATACGATGCTCAGGTGGAGTCGAATGCAAGGCGTTTCCCTCGGGGATTGATCAACGTTCAGAGCTTTGAGCTTCTAAACTATTCACTGGACGTGTGAGCCATTGTCGTTGGTCCTTTCTCTGCCAGTGGCAGACATTGTGGTCCTTGGTGAACTTTATCGACTTCTCGACAACACTTTTCTGCTTTGTTAACTTTGGTAGTTTCATCATACGAGTACAGAAAGACTCATAACCTTTTCCTAAACATAAACTCGACTTTATGAAGTCACCTGGTGCTTCGTTTTTCTCGAAGGTTGCACATAGTGTCGTCAGATGGGGTACAGGATGGTCACAGGTCACACTGCGGAAAAAGAAGTTGTCTTGCTGTGCAGAAGAAGCACACAACACAGTGTTTATCTTCACCAATTATTCTTAATGTATTAAAGGTCTTCAAAGATGTTTTCTTTCACTTAGTTTTGGTTATTCAGCCGAGTGTTGGACCGTTCTCCATTATTTCACACTGATAAACATCTTCAAGAAAAAAAGTTGTTGGTTGTAGCGGGTGGTCTCTTTGAAGCAACGTTTTACAGTATTGTCATCAACAGTTTTTGCCCGTATGGGGCGATGATATTGTGGACCATCTCTGTGACTTTATGAAGAACGGGACGTTTATGGCGCAGTGGTCGGATGCGCCCTGCGATACACATGAGGCAATCCCCTCTCTCAATGCTCATCAAGCCTTCCATCCCTCCAAGGTCGGCAGATTGGTATCAGACTTCTATGGGAAGATAGCAGCACTGGCTCGATACATCGGTAGGCCACCGCGAGTCTTCGTAAAGGCCAGATATGCATTCAATCACCTCTAACGGTGTTTAGTGAAGTGGAATGTATGGCGCATCACCAAGGGATTGATCAACGTCGAGAGCTCTATCCTTTTTATTCTTACAGAGAACTTCGAAATTTGCTCAGAATCTGGTCTTCTAATTCTTTTATTTCAGTAGATAGTAGAAAATCAATGCAAAGAAAAGCAGAAATGAAAGCGCTTATACGCAAACACGAAGCCAAGCCGCTTTTGAAATTAAAGTCTACTGCACCCTATTGGTTATTAATGCCGAGGTTAAATGATAGTCGTTTGAAAACCTATTGCACAGTTTTCAATCGTAAAGTGCTTTCATTTAAAGCCAAGGTGTACCAGCTCCGTTTCAACCTTGTCATGGATAAAATTTTTATCTGATTGTTTAGGAGGAATATGCGCCGTCTAGACACCTATTTCACTTTGTTCTTCGGGTCTGTTTTAAAGAACAGATCTGTAGGAGTCGGGTAGTGGGTTTTTTCACTTTACGAACTCAAAGAGCCTTCTATTTTCCTTCTAGAATATTCGTAAATACGGCCAACTATCACGTATGTCCTCTTCTCACTTTGCACTGGACACCCGTGATATCCAGTTGACAACGGACTTTGTCCAGAGTGGTCACCTGTCACTGGATTACATTCACAAAGATCAGGTGTATGTTCCATGTGAATTGTGACATCTCCCCATGTATAGTGATGTCTTCATTCTCTGATCGTTAGCGAAATCTGATTTTCTCACTCTCCCTCAATCATTCGTGTCATACGGGAGGCTCCTCACATCTCCATCTCAAGTTGCTCATCACGTTAACTTCAGATGCCAGATACAACACAGCTGGATATGTCTGCAGCGCTGATCGAGCGTTGAACATCAGAAACGAATTCTTCCCACATAAATATGATAGTCGTTTTCTTCTTCTCTTTTTTCTGATGCTCCGTAGAACGTATGTCTCCGGGTTTTCCAATCATATGTAGTTTGGACTTCAACAGTGCAGTGTGTAATACGTGAGGCTCCGGAGAGGGTAATCGCAGGTTCAAAATTGACCAGGGGTTCCGAGTTTTGTAAATATTTTACCACCATCTTGGTTATGCGTATCTTGCTAGAGAAGTCGAAATATTAACAACTAAGCTGCAGAGCTGACCATGAGAAATCGGCACCTTAGGTAAATTAGAAGACCGCAGGTGTGAATTAGTAAAAACAATGTATACAGCATTTCTTAGCTACTTCCTCGTTCTAACGATCTCTTCGACCTCAGCGTACGCCTCAGAAGCGTGTGCTTTTGATAAGAAAGATGAAAGATCTGTCAGTGTTGTTCAGTCCGTTATGGTGATGGAAGTGTTGGAAGTATCCTATAGCGAGAGTCCGAAGTTCTGAACTACCTCAAATACGAAAAAGCATAGACGCAGTGTTACATACCAAGATGAGTCAAAAATCAGTTGGAACGAAAATGTGGTACGTGTTAACAACAGTATTTCGGCAAGAACTGTTATAGATAAACTAACATGCGATATTAAACATACAATGCAGTCACCACCGGTATGTTGCTCATAATTCTGAAGGCACTCAACGAAGTGCATGATACTCCATTCCGGGCGATCACAACCAAATGGGCAACGTTGGCATGTGGCTGATACGAATGGCAATATTTCTGGCAATTGTCGATTAGCAGGAGGATAAGCGATGTCTTTTTCATGTGCTGATGGAAACTAACTTCTTAGCTCAACAGAAGCGTCAGCGAACACGATTATTGCAAGTAGTTGCCAGGTTTTCCCACAAAATTATGAGAGAGAGTCAAAATCCGAATTACTTTGAAAGAATTTTTTTTCACTTTCCTTAAGAGTGCTATCTCAATTAAAAAGGATGAGTGCTGGCAGAAATCGTTGAATTTATCTTTTCCTTTTATAGAGCCATAAATCGCTTAGTGGTTTGTCACATTATCTTGATATAGGGAATGCTTCTGGGTGTCGTCTTGGAGGAAGCACATTCCCATGAAAAAGCCAAAAACAACGAAGGGGTGTGGAATTGTCGTCCGGAAGCCTTGTTCAGAGTAATCATGTGTTGTGCCAGAGCCTGATGGGAGAGGATATGCAAAACAGGTTTTATGTTGTTGTAAACTTAGGCAGTAGTCATCTCATGCTCAGAATGACATCTCGACTTTCAATTTCCTTACTCTTATTGCGCAATAAGAATGAATTATATCTAAGCTTTTAAAAGACGGTGTTGTTTTCTCTATAGAGTATGTTTGAAGCACTAAATTTATTTCTCCAGAATGATCTCGTCAGACACTAGTCTACCCCATTCTTCAGGATCTATTTCAAATGGAAAGCTACGTAATCATGCTGCTGGAAACTACGAGCAGAAAGATCGGTACTCGGTAAGTTAATGAAAATATCGTTATCGACGAAAAACGACGTTGTTGTGAAAAGCTCGTTGTCTAGAGCTTTTCCTATCCACTTGAAATCATGTCGAATTTCACGAGTTATCGAATTACAGTGGTATACATGACAGCACACATACTAGTGATACCCGTAAAGCGAAACAATAAAGTCACTGCTGCGATTCCATCATATTCACAGCCCCTTACATCGTCTAATTGTCGAAAAATTATCGTTTATGGTCAGAAATGCCAACAAGTCCGTAACGGTAGGGAATCAGACGTCTCCGCCGCGGCAGCTATCCCAAAATATGCGTCGACGCAACATGTGGTAGAGCGAAAACGGGGTTCCTACTCCCGCACGGTTTAGTTCTAAATCAAAGATGGAGAAGTTCTACACCAATCTATTTCTAAACTTTCCAATCCAGTCTTCGTTCCAGATTGCTACACTGAAGAAGACGAACCTTCATTTTAGAAGTCCGAAATGCGATCAAAATGAGAGATGAAAAAGCTGTACATCAACATGATGTTACGGCCGATTCCTTCCAAACCAAGTAACTCACAAATAGAAAATAATTATTACACTCCATGCCCTAGCATAAGCAAAGGACATCATCACAATAGTTGAGCTATGGCACTATTTTTTTCCAATGAGGGAATACCGAGGGAATCATTGCTTGTTTACTTTGTGCTTAGCGCTAATTTCTGAAGATCGCTTTCACGTACATGTCGAAGTTCCTAGATGACGCTCGACTGATTCAACTACACGGACTGCAAGAGAAACTTTGTTTCATAGAACATAATAAATTCAATCGATGCACTGCATCGTATATTAAAGCTGAAAACGAATGGGTCACTCACCAGAAGATCGTTAGAAGGTATTTCTAGGCGTCCTTTTTGCTATCAACAATGTCATCCCTTCAGCAGAAACAATTTGTGAAAAGTTCGGCGAAAGAGACGGAATGTAGGTCTGCAAATAAGTTCAAAGTCCCATTTCGTCGAAAAAAAAGTCTGGTCTGAAGAAGAACCAATTGTGATTGATGGTTATCCTACTACGAACATTAGGACTAGCGTACGTTTAGTCGCGCAATGAACCTACAAAATCGCTTGAGGAAGGAAAACAACAAATCCAAAAAGACCAGAATTTCAGAGAAGGAAGCTTAATCTCTGCTTGCTTGTTTATTTCTTACGCATCCCAAAATCACATATTGTGCATAGGCACTTCTTTCGTTCGATTCCGTTCAGCGCATCCATCATCCACCAAGCTGTTCGTATTCTCGTGTACATCCAGCTGACGCTAGATGATAAGGAGGCAACCAGAATTTTCTGTAAGAATTTGCGGCATCGGCTTGGTTATTAGAGATTCCACCAACTTGGAGTAGTTCAAGCGGTGATCATTTGCAAACAGATCTGCTGAATGTGCTAAATAGGGTCGTTCTCGTTCGGAACCTTTGAAATTGAAAAGTAGACTTTTTAAAAATAATATTCTCGGTTACTGATGTCTATAGCATTCAATAAATTATTTGACCTGTTTTGAGCACGAGGAAGTCATCACTTTGTAATGCTCTTCTAATGCAGGTGTTACCGCAAATTTCCGAGGCTTCTATTCATACAAGA